GTTCAACATATTGTTTCAGAAATGCAAACAATTAAATACTGAAATTTAAACTTCATTTGGTTGGTTTTATGTTGTTAAAGTTAACTTCATGAAAATAAATATGACTGTTTGTAAAAGGAAATTAAATTAGTTTTTAAATGTTTATTTATAATATGCTGTTATAGATTGCTAGTATCAAGACAAGTGATTATAATGGGAAATATACTTAACTACAAGAATTAAAGTGTGACAAACTGATAAATATTCTATATGATGATTTACCTGCTGGCTTGCTGGATCTTTGAATTCATGTTTGCAATGTTGAACTGCCTTTAGCAGCCTCCCTTCGCTCTTTCTCTCTCTGTCTCCGTCTTCTTTTTTGTGAAGGCAATTTTTTTTTGTCTACAAAGTGTGCCAACTACAGCGAATTGTGTGTTATTTATGTTAGATCTGATCGGGTATAATAATTTGATCTGACATTCTAATTCGAAGAACGTGGATATTTTGTTGTAATCACTTTTAATCACTTTACCAACAGAAATACAAAGGGAGAGGGGCACCTCAGTCGATGAGGGCAAAGGGGCAGTGGCTCTAGCCACCGGGCCCCCCCCTGTGCACGGCCCTGGCCACCTGCAGGATCCTTGCATGCGATAGCCTAGTAGCAGGGACAACTTCTTAATGTTTAGAGACGTGACGTAATGACGCAGTGCCATGCTCGGATTTCCCGCGAAAACCTACCCGTACCACTCAAATTAGAAAACATTATTATAAGCTAACCGTTGTGAATCGGGCTAAAGCAAGGCGATAGTTTTGAACACTGGCTGGTTATGTACTTGCTCAAATATTGATTTCGGATTGATTTATTTTTCCAAAAAAAAAGTTACGAACTGCAGCTTTAAGTGTTTATTTTACCGAACCGCTGTGATTTCTAAAATTCATTCTAAACGGCCTCTTTTGAAAGTGTTTATATTTATTTTCTAGAATTTTATATGATGCAAACAAGGAACACTAAAGGAAATGAAGAAAGAAAATAATTCACCAAATGTGTTATTATTTGGTAAATAATTTATTTTACATCTATATTACATTCAAACCAACTTCATAAATATACACTAGCTTGTAATCACTTTTAATCACTTTACCAACAGAAATACAAAGGGAGAGGGGCACCTCAGTCGATGAGGGCAAAGGGGCAGTGGCTCTAGCCACCGGGCCCCCCCCTGTGCACGGCCCTGGCCACCTGCAGGATCCTTGCATGCGATAGCCTAGTAGCAGGGACAACTTCTTAATGTTTAGAGACGTGACGTAATGACGCAGTGCCATGCTCGGATTTCCCGCGAAAACCTACCCGTACCACTCAAATTAGAAAACATTATTATAAGCTAACCGTTGTGAATCGGGCTAAAGCAAGGCGATAGTTTTGAACACTGGCTGGTTATGTACTTGCTCAAATATTGATTTCGGATTGATTTATTTTTCCAAAAAAAAAAGTTACGAACTGCAGCTTTAAGTGTTTATTTTACCGAACCGCTGTGATTTCTAAAATTCATTCTAAACGGCCTCTTTTGAAAGTGTTTATATTTATTTTCTAGAATTTTATATGATGCAAACAAGGAACACTAAAGGAAATGAAGAAAGAAAATAATTCACCAAATGTGTTATTATTTGGTAAATAATTTATTTTACATCTATATTACATTCAAACCAACTTCATAAATATACACTAGCTTTTTCTTCTTCTTCGATAAAGCAGTGTCTCATTGTCTGCTTCAAGGTATCCTTATCAGATTTACACAAAGAAAACAAAGTACTCTTTTCCACTGGTTATTGGTTGGATTTAATATTTGGGACAGTGTGTCCATTAGACTTCTTTCCTTGTATCTTCCAAAGCCAAAAGTTGGTCCTCGATGTTCTTCAGTTCCTGCTCCATAGCTGCAATCTGTTATTTCAGAACACAATAAATGCATGCAAGCTCCTTCAGCTGCTGAAATATATTACTCTATTGACAAGGATGAAGCTTTCTCACGGGATATACAGAACGAATAATATGCAGTGCATGCATAAACATTTCAATCCACATAAATACATGTGGTTAATCTCCAGTTGAACTTTAATAACACAAAATAAATGAGGTTTTCTATTGAAAATGGAATTACAACAGTGTATGAAAACATTGTGCAATGAGGCATGCCAGTACGCTTCCATGCATTTGGAGTAACATGGAAATCTGCGAGACTAGCTAGTATGTAAATCTGGTTTTCAAATGTCTTTCTCATGGATAGGAGGGTGAATCTCACAAAGAAATGTCCAGGTTATATTTCACATCACAATTAAAAAAAAATAAAAAAATAAAAATTACAAATGAAGCCTATTTTCAGACTAAATAATTTACTGTTATCACGACAATTAAACACATTTCTTCAAAATTGTCATTGGTGCAATGCAATATATATTCTCAGTTTCATTAGTGTAATACAGTGGGAGAATTAATCATACAGACATGAGACATGTTTTTAATTAAATAATCTGTATAAACTGCATTTCACAAGTTACTACCCAGCACTATGTATGTATGTATATATATGTATATATATATATATATATATATATATATATATATATATAGCCGCTGATTTGCAGTACACAGGTCTAATTAAAAAAAAATAAAAAAATAAAAATTACAAATGAAGCCTATTTTCAGACTAAATAATTTACTGTTATCACGACAATTAAACACATTTCTTCAAAATTGTCATTGGTGCAATGCAATATATATTCTCAGTTTCATTAGTGTAATACAGTGGGAGAATTAATCATACAGACATGAGACATGTTTTTAATTAAATAATCTGTATAAACTGCATTTCACAAGTTACTACCCAGCACTATGTATGTATGTATATATATATATATATATATATATATATATATATATAAATAAAAATAAATAAAACTTTTTTAAATTATTATTATTTTTTGCATCACAATTTGGGGGAGGAAATAGTCACAATGCAAAAAAATTTAAATAGGCTATAAAAAAAAATATATATAGGCTTCATTTTCTTCATGCTAAATATATTTTCCAATCAAATATTATTTCATTTTGTGTGAAATATGACAGGTGCAATTTTTAGTGACGTGCATCTGCCCATTCTCCTCTGTACCCACCTTATTCTCTGTGTCTTTTCTGACTTTATCGGGTACTTTTTCTGTGTAGTTGGGCTTCTGGGTGCAAGCGAGGGCTTGGTTGAGTTTGGAGGCCAGCTTTTCTCTGCGCTGAGAGAGGAGAGCTCTCTGTTTGTCAGCATTAATACCATTCTGAAGGTTGACAGAGAGAGAAAGAGTCATCAGCAGTCTATATATTATAGACACATCGTTACTGTAGAAAGGAAAATCTTACTCTGCATTACCTGAACGCTGAGATGTAAGCAGAGGGAGTGATCCACCACCCCTACAGCACTGGCCGTAGGTGGAGGAGGAGAGTCGGTGAAGCCTCCCTCTGGACAGTGTAGATGAAGCGCTGAGATCCGGCCCAGTGTGCAGATAGCCGATCTGAAGCGCAGAAGAGTCTCAGCCTGATCCGGTGCACACACCGCCCACACTAAAACACACAACTATTACATGTCACATGATGAAAGATTTCATGTATGCTACTATAATAACTGCACCAGAAGAAAAGACTGGTTGCCAGGGTCTTCTGTGTGGTTGCCAAGGTAGTGGTATTTGTTAAAAGAAAAAAAAAAAACATTACAATACTACACTACAAAGGTAATTAAAGTCAAGTAATACAGTTTTAAGTTAACATTTTAAGTTAAGGAATAAAATTGCTAAAACTAACACTGAAATAAAAATAAATTAGCTAAACAGAAATATAAAACAATATATATAAAAATTACGAAAGCACATAAAATTACTAAAACTTCAACTAAAATGTAACCTGAAAACAGTGTTATTTTAGTATCATTGAGGTACTATTATTTACAGTTTTTATTAATAGTTCAAATTAGTTTTCATTTTTATATTTTAGGTAATGTTTTCACAATTTGGTTGTATGTTGTCATCATATCGTTTTTTTATTAATTTAATGTAATTAAACTGAAATAAAGTTTTTTTTTTTTTACATTTGTTTTATTTTATTATTTAGAAACAAAAACTTAATTTAGTTAACAACCCTGACTGAAAATATATTAATAAAAAAGTGAATTCAAAATATGAATACATACTATAATAGTACATAAATAATATTTAAACATTGCAACACTAAACACTGCAAAGTATGAGCTATTGTAGTAGTGATACTGCCTTAGCAAACACAGCTAATAACCTAACATTAGCGCCAAGTCAACAAAAACTTGAGGTTCTCTCACAGTCAGGTCTTTCCTTCGTCAGCTGGCACTGGGCCCTCAGTAACCTCGCCACTCTGACCACTTCCTCTACCAAAGAGAAGTCGGCCTCCTCCTTAGGAAAACACCAGTGCTCCTGAAGTGAAGGAGGAGATTGAAAATAGTTGTTTTGTGACTAAAAGAGAGCTGCATGTTATCAGGTGGCGTCTGTGAGTGCTGGTTTGTTTCTGACCAGTTGAGAGGTCTTTGGGTAGGGCTGCACACACAGGCTGCGGGACGTCCCGTCAGAGTCAGTGTAAGGCAGGAGTCTCTGCCACAGCTCCTCTGTGAGGAACGGCATGAAGGGTGAGAGGAGCGCGAGAGAGATGGACACGCTGTGATACAACACAGACGCGGCCACCTGCCTTTCTCGATCTCTCTGTTCCTCACTACAACAGCCTTCACCTTTCAACACCGGCTTGATGCTTTCCTGAAGAAGAGGAACAGAAGACGACAGTTCATCAGTCAGTGACTGGAAGATCCACCAGTATCATGACAGATCATACTCACCAGGTAGACGTCACACAGACTGTGGAGCCAGAAAGAGTGCAGTGCAGACGTGACCGTGTGGAGCTCATAGCTCTCGAAACCCCTCTCACACTGCTGAACCGTGCTGTGCAGACGTGAACAGATCCACCGGTCCATGCTGGATAAAGGATAGGTCTAAGAGACAAAGTGAGAAAAAATTTAATAAACTGCATGCAAGATTTTTTTTTTAAATCTTGAAATATCAGTTTCAAAATCATTCTGATGGTGCACAGACTTATAATAACGCAAATGGCTCTGAGAAGGGTTGCCAAGTCCACAGTTTTAGCCACTGAACTGGTGTATTTTTAAACTGTTCTCGGAGGTTGACATTTTCCATACAGGTTTAAGGTATGATATAGTGCATAAATAGGGTGGCCATATGTGCCATTTATATGGGACACCTCCTGGCCATGATTTTTATATGGCCTAAAACGTCCAAAGTAGTTGACTTATAACATGCAGGTATTGTACATAATCGACCAATCGTGGCGCGTCACACGTGAGAAGGTGAGAGCGATCAAAGCGATGCCAATACGTGCCCGTGTTTGTCCGTTCGTTCGACTTGAAGCTGCACACGATCATTGTATGACACCAAAGTGCATATTTTGATATTTGGACTAGTTTTCTTACACAGATCTGGCAACCCAGGTTCTTAAAATCAGTATTAGTTGGCCTTATGAGTTTTTCAACGCTTATATTTAGAGAGCAATGTGACTAGATATTAGAGTTTTAGTCTAAACATTTAATCACATCTGACTGACAATTTTCTGACTGAATTTAATGTTTTTTAAAGTTTCTTAAGCTCACCAAGTCTGCATTTATTTGATCAAAAATACAGTAAAAACAGTAATACTGTGAAATATTACAATTTAAAAAAAATATTCCATTTGAATCTACTGTAAAATGTAATTTATCTCTGTGATGCAAAGCTGAATTTTCAGCATCATTACTCCAGTCTTCAGTGTCATGTGATTGTGATTTGATGATTACGGATTATAATTATAATCAATGTTGTGTTTTTCCTATTTTTGTAAAAACCATGATACAATTTTTTAGGATTTTTTGATGAATAGAAAGTTCAAAAGAACAGCATTTATTTGAAATATAAATATTTTGTAACACCATAAATGTATTTACTGTCACTTTTGATCAATTTAATGTGTCCTTGCTAAATATTAATTTCTTTAAAAACCCCAAACCTTTGAATGACAGTGTAAATCACAACAAATAAGGCATAAATCAAACAGCTGAAATCAAATAATTATGTCATAAAATATTTTATATTTTAAAATATATATTTTCCTTTCCATTTCTTTTCCTTCCTCAAAATTCCCTCAAAAATATTTGAAGCACGCGTCCAGTAGATTCTGTAACTGACACAAGCACACTGTGAAACTAAGGGAGCAAACAGTTATCAACTGACGGGAACAATCTCAGTGAAGAACTGAGACTTCACCCTTCAAACTGATTTTCTGCCATTTGCTCCTACAAGTCATTTGCACTGGCACTCTCCGGCACTCTCCGTCCCAAAGGGGACGAGCGAATGTGAAACAGCAGAAGTGCCAATGCAAGACAAAATACAGCACATGATAAAGTGTGTACTTCATTTAAACCCAGATGCAGATCATTAAATCATGTCGGCATCATGCAGATCAGCTCTCGTACTGTATCACCCAGCGAGCAGCATTCGTCTGGGTTGCTTTATTGATTTAATGAAGACATATTGGCTGCCGTACCTCTGCTAATGATGTTGGTAAACTTGCATCATGCAGCGTGGCGAGGGTGAAGCGCACGGTCTGCCACATCTTATTACAGAAATGTCTGCAGCTCAGCACATGAGACACAGACAGGCTGATGTCCTCTCCTGAGACGGGGTTCGAACAAAATATCAGCAGAGGGAGTGAGGAACTCTGGGTACATCTGATCGTAAGGTTTGATTACAGGACTCTCTAATGAGGGCGACTTACCCTGGGCTTTATAAGAGCAGAGGGCGAACCTCAAAGCGTCTGTCCCGCACTCTGGAATCCCTTTGGGGAAATCTTTCTTCTGCAGAGAGGACACAGGAGTTGAGGTGAACTCGCTCATTTGGAAACGACTGGATCACTGGAATTGAGCGAACCTCGTACTGACCTGTGCTTCCATGGCAACAATGCTTTCCCTCGGATCCAAGTTTCCTTCTCTGACTTTCTCTTGAAGTCTCTACAGAGATTAAACCGGAATGTGACTGACAAGAAGACGAAGTCTTCATGACAAAGTGGCGATTAGAAGATTAGCCGTTTCATATATTAAGACTTCACCATGGATGGCTGTGCTTTCAGAGCGAGTGGAGTCAGTTCTGCCCTGAGGCCTGGATAAAGACATCTAACTGATAGATGTTCATTGCCAGCTGTACAAAGGCTTGTTATATTCATTAATAAGTCTGAATTATTTCTTTAATTCATTTAGTGTTCGTAGGAACTAAAAAGGGAATGGAGTAAAAATTTTTTTTACAGGTATAGAAAGGACAAAGTTTTCAATCCTCTAATGCTAAGTCTAATGGTATGAAACTACAGAAGTGTATAAAAAATAAATTTTTCCCCAAATATATTCCAGTGTTATTTTAATATTATTTATATACTTGTGTAGTATTTATTAATATTTTGAATTGGATTTTATTTTTATAATATCAGTTTCTATTTTAATTTTATTTCATTTAGTTTTTGTAATTTTATTGTTATTTTGTAATTATTAATTTGTTAATATTTCTATTGAGCATTTAATTTAATTTTTAGTTTTAGTAATTTTAGTACTTCACTTTAAACTTATTTTATATTATTTAGTTGCCAAGGCAACACTTCTAATTAAAATTTTTTAAAGTTTTCTTTGAATATTTATATTTTATTTTCATTTCGGCTTTATTTTAATTAACAAAAACGAGTTTAAGTTAATAATAACAACACTGGTCACACCGAATCTGTAGCCAATTATTCATAAAAATTAGCTATAAAAAGATTTTTCTGTTAAAATGGGAGTTTTGAGGTTTTGAGTCCATGTGTAATAGTTTGCGATGCACTGATATTAAATTCTGGCCAATATGTCAAGTCAATGATTATTTTCATGGCCCATAAACAATAAAGGGCTGATATCAAAACTCTATACTATTTTTTTCTAAATTAAAAAACAACAACTAAACACTAAAATAATTTGTTTAAATGCTACAAGTGAAATTAAGAATCACAACTTTATATACAATATGAAAATCTATATTCTGAGATTTGCATGCATATTAAATAATTTAAAGATTACATTTAACAGTATTATTAAATAAGTCTTTTTCAAGATTAACTTTGAGTGTTAAGATGACAGCAAAGGTAATATAAATGTAAAAAATAGAGTGTGCACAGTTAAATATCCAATATCAACAATTACTGATAAATTAAAACTATCTCTATTATTGGTCCATATGTTTTGGGCTTCCCCACTATTAGCTTTGAAACATGGACCAAATATATTGATGACTCATTGCCTACGCAGATTTTTGTCCAATCAAATGCTCTCTAGAATGAGAAAGCCCCTCCCACTAATACCACCTGCAATTGACTAGCAACATCAAGTAGTGAATTATGGTTAATGCTGTGGCGTAAACTAAAGGCTGCTGGCTATTAAAAATGAAGACAAGCTCTTTGATTGGCCCCACCCTGACGTCTAGTCTAAATAGTAAAAGTACGTCAAAACAACATCAGTGTCATGGTATCTTCATGTTTTGTACTCTGTTGAAACCGGTCTGAATGCTGAGAGTTCGTATGTGTCTGTACCTCCAAAGAAACCCCTGAGATGACATCAAGAGGGTCAATGACATTTCCTAAAGATTTACTCATCTTCCGCCCATATTTATCTCTCACCAGAGAGTGAAAGAGCACCTGTTTGACAGTGACGGAGCAGAGAGAGAAAGAGCAATAAGAGTCAGAGCTGCAGACAATCAGAGACAATTTGATGGCAAAACAGACGGTAACATTTCTCAGTGACATTTTGGATACTTTTGTTATATGACGCACATCGCAATAAAAATGTTCAGTTCCTGCCAACCTTACGATATGGCATTTAGAGTTATGAGCTCAGCAATAAGCCATCGACCCAACCTGTTTAAAGGGCAGCTGGCCGGTCAACTCTCTGCCCAGCATCACCATCCTGGCCACCCAGAAGAAGATGAGGTCACTTCCTGTTTCCAGAATGGAATTGGGGTAGAACTGTTTCAAGTCTTCTGTCTGAGGATAGAGAGTGAGATCTTCAGCATGTCGATACACAGACTTTCTTTATTGATTTTTTTGTCTGGTGAGTTTATGAAGTTGAAAGAAAAATGGACTTTAAAAATGAAGAACCTGCTGAGGCCAGCCGAGCATTGCGAACGGGAAGAGACCAGAAGAGAACCAAGTATCAAGCACATCTGGGTCTGAAACAAACATTTAAAAAAGACAGAATGCAGTGCTACAGTAACACAGTGAACAGCCTGCATTATTGAACTACATCACTTGCTAAAAATAGTTTTTCTTCTGATTATTATTTATAATAAATAGTTACCAGGGGCTAAGTCAAGTCAAAATGACCAAAAAAAGTGCCATAGAAGTATCATAAGAGCAGTCCAAATTATTATATTTCAAGTCTTCTTCATTATTAAACAGAGAATTCTTAACTTTAAGATTTTGGTACGTAGTAGGTTGTAATATATCTTTGGATTGTTGCACTATTTTATTCTATGTTGATCTATGTGATATGTGTTTGCGGGAGTCTAATGCTGATTACCGGCTGTGTCATTTGAAGTCCAAGACAAATTTCCCTAAAATGCGACAATAAAGTAAATTCTATTCCATCCATTCTGAAAACATATAACAGCTTTGTGTGAAGAACCAGCTGACGCTTAAGTTATTAATTGAACACTCAAATCTCATTCATGTGGTTTGAATAAGGGCATATTTATTTGTAGAGTCACTATTAGCTGCACACAAAGCTGTGAAAGGTCTATATAAAGCATGTGTCATTTGGACAACTTTGATGGTACTTTAATGGTAATTTTGGTGATATGGTGACTTTGCAGCTTGACAGTGACTGCTGGTCAACATTCACCTTCATTTTATGTAAATGATCATGTACATTCTGCTAAATTTTTTCTGTGCTCTATGGAAGATTAAAAAAAAAATCATACAGGTTTCAATAAGAACCCATAATAACATAACACATTATGATTCCTGTACTACACATCATAGATAATTAATTTCTTTCTTTGAAAGAAATACATTGTAATATACACTACTGTTCAAAAGTTTGTGGTCAGTAAATTTGTGTGGAATGAAATTAATTTTAATCAGCCAGAATGCATTAAATTAAAAGATTAAAGATTTTTATAATGTTTCAAGACTGTACAGTATCACAGTTTTCACAAAGATATTAATCAACACAACTGTTTTCCATATTGAGCAGCAAATCGGCATATTATACAGATTTCTGAAGGATCATGTGACACTGAAGACTGGAGTAATGATGCTGAAAATTCAGCTTTGATCACAGGAATAAAAGGGATAGTTCTCTCAAAAATGAAAATTACCCCATGATTTACTCACCCTCAAGCATCCTAGGTGTATATGACTTTCTTCTTTCAGATGAATACAATCAGAGTTATATTAAAAAAAGTCCTGGCTCTTCCAAGCTTTATAATGGCAGTGAATGGGTGTTGAGATTTTAAAGCAAAATAAAGTGCATCCATCCATCATAAAAAATACTCCTCACAGCTCCAGGAGGTTAATAAAGGCCTTCTGAAGCGAAGCGATGCATTTGTGAAAGAAAAATATCCATATAAAACCTTATAATTTTTTGAGAAATTTTTGAGAACGATCCCATTAATTACATTTTAAGACACATTAAAACAGAAAACAGATATTTTTCACATTATTACAGTTTTATATTTTTTGTATTTTTAATCAAATAAATGCAGCTTTGGTGAACATAAGTGTTTCTGTTTTCAAAAACATTTAAACAAATCTTACCAACCCTCAACATTTGAACGGTAGTGTAGATTAGGAGTATTAATCATTGAAACAGAAGTGTGCCTGATGTGAACTCTCACCCTGTGTGAGTGTGATGGCATCAGGATTCACTCCAAACTTCACAGCGGCACGTTGTCGAGCCTCTGCAGCACTTCTGCCCCAAACCCACTGCTCCTGCTCCAGACACAGCCAAGAACCATCAACGCTTCAGTCAAAACCTCACCTAATATGATCAGGCTCAATTCATAAACACATTATTCTGTAGCAGGTATGTTAGGGTCATCTCTGGCCTACAGATGTCGATTTATGATAGTGCCCCACCTCTTCTGTGTCCTTTGAGTTTTCCAGCGTCACTCGATAGGCTGGTATCTGATGACCCCACCAAAGCTGCCTGGAAATGCACCAATCGCTGCAAGGTGGAGATATACACGACATAAAACAACTGAAAGAATATTAACAGAAGTGTGTAATTGGTCAAACAAACAGACAGGCATGGACATGACCCTAAATCACAAAACAGACCATTTTAAAAATATAGCTTTGCATAAATAAAAAGATCCATGATGCAGGGTAAATAATAAGACTAACCTGATGTTAGACAGCCAGCTCTTCCACATTTTTGTATAAAAGTGAGGAATTATCTGTAGATCTCCTTCTTCCACTGCCTAAAAAGAGCATTTACATGAATGTCAATGAACAAAATCATTAAACAGAATAATGAAATTAACAGTTAATCAACCGTTTAACCATTTATCATTGACCAGTAACAGGAATATGTTTTCCAGTAAAGCACTTGATGAGCCACACATTTGCTGTTGCTCGAGGTATCTGTATTGACAGATACAGTTAATAACACACACACACACACGTCAACAAAACCAGCTTTATGTCAATTTAACCATTTACTGTAAATGTGCATGTATGTTTGATATGCTCTACCATTCAAATGTGTGGGGATGGTATGATTTTTATTTTTTTTAAAGAAGTCTCTTATATTCACCAAGGCTGCATTTATCTAATCAAACATACAGTAAAATCAATAATATTGTGAAATATTTTTATTTTTTTTTATTTATTATCAATGTTGAAAACATTGTGAGTGATATAACAATAAGTAATATATAAATATGATTTAATTGTGTGCCTTATTATAACTATGAGAAAGACAGAGTTACTGTGTGGTTTAACACATCAGCACAATTTCTATCTGATGCAACCACACATTTAAAACACGCTCACTCACTTGAACTGCTTTTCTGCTCATTTCCTGACAACGCACAAACCACTGTTTCTTCAGCAAGGGTTCAATGACATCTCCAGAACGACTATGTGGGAGGAATAAAATCAAGAGAGGACAAAAGGTCAAAGACTACTGGTATTTTTTAGTCGAAAGAACATGACAAAAATGTTTGAAAGGAATGGTCTACCCGAGTACACAAAAACGTAGCGTGATACAGCCAGATAATTCAGCAGCCTGTAAGTCTTTTCAAAATAAGAGGCTGAGGAGAGGTTTACTGCTTATGGAGCAGTTTATATCGGTTTACCTGCAGATTGGTAATGACATGGGATGCTCCTTCTTTCCTCTGAACAGCTTCCTCTCCATCAGCGCAGTAATTACTCGTTCCCTGGCATCAAACCGCTTAACACCCTAAGAGACAGAAACGTTACATGCTGAATATCCATAGAAACATTCTTTTAAATATAGAGCCTCTATATAGATTCCTTATATACTGAAGATATCTTAAAGGGGTCATATGATGCGATTTCAAGTTTTCCTTTCTCTTTGGAGTGTTACAAGCTGATTGTGCATAGATAAGATCCCTGAAGTAGCAAAGACTAAAGTCTCAAAACCAAAGAGATATTCTTTATCAAAGTTACGACTCTGCCACGCCCCCCTAAAACAGCTTGTTCTAACACGCCCCCACATATCTACCTCACTATGTGGAAATATTAGCATAATGTTGCCCAAATGTGCACGCAAAGAAAGAAGGCGTGGTTTCAGTAACCGCAGTTAGTGTTGAAGCAGCATGTCAGGGAGACGCTGTGTGTTTCTAGGCGAAAGCAAAAGCACTTTATTTGGCCTTCCGGAAGTAGATGCATTTAGGAATCTTTAAGATTACTTACAACAGAACAGCAATGCATTTTATGGACGACGTTTCGTGAACCTAGGAGAGGAGGTAATTCTGACTTTGCTATGACAATCTGGCGCTTCTGAATCAGCTACTGTTTTGTTATTAGTTTAAGTATTTGCTATTGACTGTTCAAATGCGGCGTTTTGCGCATCTTGTGTGTGTGCGCGCGCGCGCGAGCGAGAGAGAGAGGGTCACATCCCAGTGGAGTCAGCTATCTTAACCATGGCTTGTGTACTGCAAACACATACCAGCTTCATCACTGTGTCTGTCACACGACTCCGTTCTGTCTTTACATTTATTTTGAAAGATGAAGCTCGCGATTATGGTAAGGGGCGTTACATTTCCGATGAGTGCTTGCGGTGTTCGGCCAATCACAATGCACTGGGTCAGCTGGCCAATCAGAGCAGACTGCGCTTGTCGGAAGGAGGGACTTTGTAGAAAACGAAGCGTTTGAGAGAGGCGGGGCATAGAGGACCTACAATGTGTTTTTTGAACATTAAAGCATGTCAACATATTCTGTTACACCAAATAACTATCTTTAAAAAAGCATCATATGACCCCTTTAAGACTAGAGCTGTCATGATCATTCAGTTGTTGTTGGCAATTAATTCTAATCCATATAACTGCAATTAATGATTTAACTGTCATTTAAATTTACAGTGACTTGAATAATAGAAGGATCACTTTCCATTCACACTGGTCCTTTTGGGAACTAAATTCACTCAAATATTATATAATGGACAATTAATATAATATAATATAATATAATATATAACCAGTGACCCTACAAAGGACTGAGAAGTGATAAGGATTATATTATATTACATTACATTACTAGTGACCCTACAAAGGACTGAGAAGTGATAAGGATTGATAATGTTTGGATATATTATATTATAAAACCTAATACATGCTAATTTCTTTACTAGCATGCAGCATTTTAACCCACAGAGATCTAGGCATTAAAATTAATAATGCATCTCCTTTTTCCCAATTCTGAAGTTGTTTTTAACCAGGCCACTGGTTAGCATTTTAAATAATGGTCTGAAAGCACATTTAGATTTTGGGCTGAATTTTGGTAACATGCTGAGTTTGTAGGGTTGCTTTAGACCTGGATACCATATTATATATACTTCCCACCATTTTAGGAGGCTGAATGTGGATAAGTTGATCTCAGAGCCCTTTCATGCTCTCTGTAGTTTCATGATCTTGAGATATTCCTACAGCTTGCTGACCTTCTGTAATACATAATGCTAATGCATATGTAGAGGCCTACAGTACAGATGCTTTGACCTTTATAAATGTCTTTCCATTGAGACAGACCTTCAGTATGTTCATCTCAGAGCCCTCTGAAAGTTTCACAATCCTGAGATATTCCTACATCTCACTGACCCCTGTAATATACACATTTATATGCCTGCAGTTTCTTTGACATTTATAAAAAAGTCTTTCCAACATGCTAGAAGACTGAGAAATGTTTCTCAGAGCTTCCTGATACTCAAACTGAATGGGTTTCTTTGTGCGAGTAATACAGATTGATGTTCACACCAAGGACAAATAATTATAACTATAGCTATAATTCTGTAAATAAAATTTTTTTAATCATCATTTTAATTCTATCCTATGAGAATATGGAAATACACATCACAGCTATAACGATAACGAAACAGAGGAAAGATATCGTTGGAATCACTTTCAGAACAATTTTTCAAGCTGATGAACGATAAAAACATTGACAGCCAATCAGAATCCACCTGACTTTAAAAAGCTTGAGCATTTAAAGCGACAGAAAACAAAACTTCAGCGTGCGCTTATAATAGTCAAAACTTTATCGTCCACTGGTGTGGACACTAATATAGTTATTGTTCTTAAACAGGCCTTAAGTGTTAAGGACTGTATTTTTGCTACCATTCGAAAAAAGTCTCAAGTCAGTGTTTTCGGGGTCACAATCATTTTCAATCATTAAAGAAGTTGGGAATTAAGAAACAACATATCATATAAGTCAAATACTTATGTCAAATAATTACTGAGTTTATACCAGAAGTCTTTGCCTACATGTAGAATATAGATATTATTATTTTCTTTTAACAATAGATCAGTTTATCTAATGGGTTTTTACAGCTTTTGGCAGTCGGATTAAACCTTGACTGTGAAAGGTGAAGTGATGATAAAATGAACCTAAATCCTAAAGTGCACAATAATTGCTGCCATCCCAAATAATGACATGATCAATACTGTAATAATTGCAATAAAAAATTAATTGTAAAATGATCTCTGTACCTCTAGCCACTGGCCGCAGTCTGAGGTCATGATCCCATTTCCTCCAATCACAGTGAGGCTTGGGAGTGAATGTCTCTGAGAGAGCATGAAGTCAGTGTGGTCATGAGCTGGTGTCACTTTAACAGCACCTATGAAGGCAAAGTTGAAAGACAGGAGCTGAGACTAAAGGTGCAGTCACAAATTTCACAGGAAAAAAAATGTTCACTGCCTATTGTCAATAATGTGGCAATGTATGAAGCACAGCTCACACAGAAGTCACTTTAAACTTGTAAACTTTCAAGGCTTGCTGCGATAGACGGTGTTTTCGGTTATACCAGTGTTAAAGGGACAGTTCACCCAAAAATGACAATTTGATGTTTATCTGCTTACCCCCAGGGCATCCAAGATGTAGGTGACTTGGTTTCTTCAGTAGAACACAAACTGAGATTTTTAACTCAAACCATTGCAGTCTGTCAGTCATATAATGCAAGTGGATGGGAATCACGGCTAAAACATACAATAAAACTATGAACTGTCTGAACTGTACTGCGCGTCCTCAACACAGCCGGTGAGTGAGGCGTCTTCTTGCTCGCTTTACGGCGGATCGCAGACTTATAAGAGCATTACCGCCACCTATCTCTCAAATGAACCATTGACACTATCTACAATCTCAATGCCAGTTCAGGCATTTATGTGCATCAGAGGTAAAAAAACCTATATAAATACTGTTCAGTTTCTTGCACAGACCGATCGTTTCGTGTCTTTACACATCAATGTATCGTCACGAGCCGCAGGGTTTAATTTGGTTTTGTTTGTGTATGTTTTTTTTTAGTTTTATTGTATGTTTTAGCCGTGATTCCCATCCACTTGCATTATATGACTGACAGACTGCAACAGTTTGAGTTAAAAATCTCAGTTTGTGTTCTACTGAAGAAACAAAGTCACCTACATCTTGGATGCCCTGGAGGTAAGCAGATAAACATCAAATTGTAATTTTTGGGTGAACTACCCCTTTAAGCCGCAACACCGGTTATGTAATTTGCACCGCCCCCCACCTTCATTTAGATTTTTTTTAAAGTAACAAAAATCATTTAGCCTAGTTCAGTGAGGACAGACACTTTAAAAAACTAAACGCTCAATGCAGCATGCCAAACCGTGGGCGAACGACAGTGTACCACGGAGCAGGAGTCCGATTTTATTTATCACGTGAGGAGAGTGAGTCGAGCTGACTGACAAGAGTGAGGTGAGAAAGACAAGACAATGGCAGAAGATTGTTTAGAAAGGAAATGCAAAGGCGCCCGTTTGCCAATATTTTAGATTTTGAAAAGCCTATTGACTGGAAGTTTTTTTTAAACATTCGTTTCTTATTTATTTGGTTCCACAGTGTTTGCTGAGTTTCAGTTTTATATACCCATTTAAACTTTGTGTAGCCCAAGTAATTTGTTATTTTATTAGGCATATATGGAGTATTTGTATTTGTTTTGTTAATAAAAGTTATATGAGTTTGACGTTGTTGTTGCTTGAACTGAATCAATGCCCAATTGCTGCTAATTTGAAAGTGAATGTAAAATGCACACGGCACTTTTACAAGCTATTTGAAAGCGAAGAAAAGCGGGAAACTCAAATGAACTAACAACCTCCCCCCCCACCCCAACGGTGATACCGGTATTGTCACACGTTGATTAACCGGTAAGGAAAATTTCCTCACCCTCACAACCCTTATATATATATATATATATATATATATAAAATTGTGGCAGAGATGTAATCCTATATGTGACCGACTACACTGAATGCGGCGCGACACGACAAATCCCCGACAGTAAACTGATGCCGCGTTCTCTTTATGGCGTACTGACACAAAGTTCAAATGATTTGCAAAGGTCGCTTTTGGAGAGTCCAGTGTAGACAGACTTTATGGCCGTTCATATGTCGTGCCTAAAAACGCGTGGAAAATGCCCGCCGTGCCGCTTTCTCCTTCTTTCCAAACCGCTCGGGAGCTGCCGTTGCAGAGATGGACAGAGATACCCATTTTAAATAAATGTAGTAGCGGAGCTACTGCAAGGGATTTTCAGTGCTGGAAATCCATTTATCCGTTGTTGAAACTTCTGCGTCGTCGAGGAGAGCGCAGGTCACGGTCGCTTTGCAACGGCAGCTCCCGAGCGGTTTGGAAAGAAGGAGAAAGCGGCACGGCGGGCATTTTCCACGCATTTTTAGGCACGACATATGAACGGCCATAAAGTCTGTCTACACTGGACTCTCCAAAAGCGACCTTTGCAAATCATTTGAACTTTGTGTCAGTACGCCATAAAGAGAACGCGGCATCAGTTTACTGTCGGGGATTTGTCGTGTCGCGCCGCATTCAGTGTAGTCAGTCACATATAGGATTACATCTCTGCCACAATTCTGAACGCGAAAGATCATATTTTGAGCGCACAAAATTGCATTTTGCACACACGCGATTTGAGTTTTGTGGAGAAAATGTTTGTTTCGCAAAGAAAAAAGTATTTAGAGCGCACAAAAATAAATTTTGCATTTAAAATACGTTTTTGGATGTGTGCAGACCTTCTCTTTTGCGCGTGCAACATTTCACTAGCTAGCTCCCTTGATGCCTGCCCTCAGTGCTCTCTAAATGCCAACGGCTCGCTTGCTCAACACAACCCAGCATTACAATATGCCATGATTCCAGCCAATCAGAGACGAGGCTACTAAATTCTGATTGGCTGCCTTGACAACCAATCACTCCTTGCATTGCTGATGACAGAGGAAGAGGAAAAATACAGTGCATGCATAATTATTATGCAAGTTGATATTCTGATCATATTTTTTTCCAAGCACATTTTATTGATTCCAAACAACATCAAACTTAATAACTACTATTAATCTTGTATTTAATCACTTATAACCTATATATTATTGTTCATGAAGGCTGGAAGTGAAAAACGCCTTATATTCAGGTGTGCATAATTAAGCAGGTTATCTTATACAGATAAAATCTCAAGATGGACTAAAAATTAACTCCCAAAAGATAAATTCTTCAAACAGCGGTACAAGAGAATGTGGTGCTGGTCCTTCAAGAGTCACTTTCAACTTATCTGTCTATAAAGCCTATATTAAAAAAAAATCAGTCTTCAAGTATTTTACTACACTTCAGTATGTGATTCTTATTAAGTAGGGGTCATATTTTAGGATTCTATACTTAACCCAAGTCTCAGAGAACCTGACACCTTGTACTTCTGGAGACTCCAGGTAGGTTGCAGTTCTGAAAAATGGTGGCGCTGGAGACTAAATGGTTCCTGTTGATTTCACACCAAATTCTTCATCTTAATTCCTAATTCTTGAATATTTCTCATGGGCATTTAATAATTTTTCACTTTCAGTCGGAGTTAAATCTCTTTTTTGGCTCATTTTATCTGTAAAGGAAAATATGCTTAATAATTATGCACACCTGAATAAAATACATTTTTCACTTCCAGCCATCATGAATAATTATATATCAATTATAAATGATTAAATACAAGATTAATCATAGTTATTGAGATTGATGTTGTTTGGAATTGGTAAAATGTGCTTGGAAAAAAAATATGATCAGAATAACAACTTGCATAATAATTATGCATGCACTGTATTTTTCCTCTTCCTCTGTCATCAGCAATGCAAAGAATGTTGTGATTGGTTGTCAAGGCAGCCAATCAGAATTTAGTAGCCTCGTCTCTGATTGGCTGGAATTATGGCATATTGTAATGCTGGGTTGTGTTGAGCAAGCGAGCCGTTGGCATTTAGAGAGCACTGAGGGCGGGCATCAAGGGAGCTAGCTAGTGAAACTTTGCACGCGCAAAAGAGAAGGTCTGCACACATCCAAAAACTTATTTTAAACGCAAAATTGATTTTTGTGCGCTCAAAATACTTTCTTCTTTGCAAAAGACAAACATTTTCTCCACAAAACTCAGATCGTGCGCGTGCAAAATGCACATTTCTGCGCTCAAAATATGATCTTTCGCGCGCATAATTGTGGCAGAGATGTAATCCCATAGTCACATAGCATCACTGAATATAATGGCTTCTATTGTATTTTGTAGCGTAGAAAAAAAAAGAAAATTCACTTTTGTAGCTATAACACAGATTTGTTAGATTTAATTTATAGTGAAAACTATGCAGTGTTATTTTACATTTGATTATTCTTGATTATTTCTGTACCTGAATACTGTTAGACTTACCTGAAAAATATAAAGCACTGCTTATTTCATTTGTATCTTTGTTCTGTTATTTATCTATGCTTGTAATTTGTTTTCCTATGCTGATTTACTCTCCTACAAAATCACCCCAATCATTGATTATTTTTTTCCCAAATATAAAGCTATTGAAGTCATCAATAAAATGACTTTGGCTTGCAGTGTAAAAGTGCACTAATTGTAATTTAACATCTTTTACAATAAAATGTACAGTTATTTCCAACACACAAAATTCATCATGCACAAATGAATGAAATACCTGTGCCAAATGCCATATCCACCATAGAGTCAGTGACAATGGGTAATAAGCGCTCTGTGAATGGATGCCTGCAGTGTTTGCCATGAAGATTCTGATGAGAAAAGAATGAAAATGTGCTAGAAAAGTGCTAGAACTACAGCTCTGGTTGTAACCTAAAAATATTCAGTCATCCAAGTCACTTTAGCATTGCAGACATACTGCCTACTGCATACTAGATTTATCAAATGTAACACGAGTAGTACAGCAATATCCTATTTGAACACAAGTACAGTCATGTAAAGTCCAATCATAAGCACAGAGTAGACAACAAAATCCATTCGAAAACCAATGTAGCTTTACTTTATATCGAGGGTCATCGGGATGAACAGCAATGGCCACGTCTCCCAGCATCGTCTCTGGACGAGTGGTTGAAACTGCAACTTCTCCTTCTAAAAATGTTTTTCAAAAATCCCAACTTAGAACCAAAGGGGTAAAATAACATCTGGAGAAATAGAGCAAACTGAAAAAGTCCACTCACGCTGTCCCTCCAGTGGATATGCAAATGTAACCATGATCCCAAACTCCACTTTCTGCTCATAGCCAGGAACAGACAGAAGAGTCCTGCCAGACAGCTCCTTTGAGTCCACCTGAGCACATCAAATCATGAGTTAGTCTGCAAGAAATGTGTGGCCAGTGTGTCATATACAGTGTCATCTGTAGGTTGTTAGACATGGAGCGGCTCAGTGATGTACCTCTATATCTGAGATGGCTGACTCTAACGCACAGCTCCAGTTGACCAGACCTTCAGAGCGATAGATGAGCCCAGAGTCACACAGCCTGATAAAGGCCTCTGTCACAGCACCGCTGAAACCCTACAGAAAAAAAACAAAACAATGCATGTTTAAAACAGATTTTGAGAAAAAAAAAAAGGTTTCCTGAGTCACGAAGGAGATGGAGAAAAAAAAAAAAAAAAAGTATTAATATTAGTTCCAGTTCATTTGTCATAATGGAAATCCTTGTGGAAAAAGTGGGGGGAAAAGTGCTTAATTTTATTGAATGTGCACTTGTAGCGTACTTCAAATCCTAAAAGTATGTTTTTAAAAAACGGTAATTGCAGATAAAATAATATTACTGAAATAAAAGGCCACTTGAGTGAACTTAAAGAGAGCACACTTCCATGATTAGGTTTCTTAACATGCTTAAGTTAACCTTAATAATGTAAAATTAAATGTATTACTTTGAAGCACATTTTAAATTGTAATATTTTGTAATAATCTTTTGTCATGCTTTAAAAAGTACACTTATTGTTATGGACTAACATACTAATGCACATGTAAAGCACACTTTAGTGTGTTTTTCTAATATATTTGCAACTTCATTACAATTGTGTAATTACAAATATATCTAAATATACACAACATACAAGTTTCAATACAAATGACATGTAAATTTTGGTTTACCATTAAACTTTAATCATATTTCAAGTACAAAAGACGTATTATAAAATTACATTAAGTGGATCAACAAAGCATTCTAAATTTCAGCTAATTGCATCAAATATACATTATAACATGAATTTTCATTTGAAAATAACACATTTGCAAATTCAAATGAAAACAACACGTAATTACATGTCCAAAAACATTAAACAAATATGTATAACTATGAACTGAATGTAAAGTGTATTATTTACATAGTAAGTGCCCTTTTAAAGTGCCCCTATTATGCCATTTCGAATATTGCTTTTCATGCAGTGTGTAATGTAGCTTTATGTGAATGTAAACGATCTGCAAAGTTATAAAGCCGAAAGTGCACAATAAATAACATTATTGTCTCCCAAAAGAAAGAATCGACTCTGAACAGCCTAAACAAGTCGTCAGTAATTCGAATCCCACTTCTGTGACGGCTACACGTCACTGGGTAACACATTTGCATAATGCCCATCTATGTTCTACGTTGGCCGGCCGCGAACAACTTATATTATATAACCCCAATATTTTTTTGTGTTCCTGCCATTTTACTGACGACTGCTTCTCTAATCTCGGGGAGTTCAATGCGGGATTTACAAAACACGGGGGGAAAAAAATGGCTCAGTACCCAGTTTATTTGGACCAGATTGCTCCTCTGAATATCAACCTGTAAATATGATAAATAATAGATGTTTATATTTTGTATTGAGCGTTCAAAATACGGAACTATGACAATGTGCTGTACGCGGTAGACCAATCACAACAGACTGGGCCATCTGACCAATCAGAGCAGAGGAGGCTCATGGAAAGGAGGGGCTTAGAGAGACTGAATCTTAGAACTGCTCTGAATGAATCGTTGAAAAATGAGGTGATATTAAATGCATATTTTGAGAAAACGAAAGCGTTTTTTGACCTTGCATGCATGTAAACCTATTGTAGGAGACTCCCAAAACAATATTAGGAACTTTAAAAATGGCATAATTGGGGCATTTAAAAAAAATGTGTGTTAAAAAGTATACTTTTTTCACAAGAAAATGGATGGTCAGGTTGAGGTGAATTGCATTGTGGGATACATTAATTAGATATCCTATTCTTAGAGACAAAATGCATACTGTGCATAGTATACACAGACTGCATACTGCAGGAACACTATGGATATCATAGAAGAATGCTATTCCACACCAAGCCCTTGAGAAAACTGAGAATAACTTATTACCGGATCCATCGTAAAACAGGCTCTGCTCCAGTCAAGAGATGCACCTAGTTTTCTCAGCTGATAATAAATCTCATCCCCCTTTCTGAAAAAAAAAGTTGAGTTGAGTTGAATTGAATTTTAAAAAAAGAAAGCAGTCCTTACAGTTACCATTTGGACATCTAATAATACAATAGAAGCACTAGTAGCATACTAAAGCCCTAAACCACTTCAAGGCTCTGAATGTAAGGACAAAAGAAGGACAGCAAAGACTTACTGATTTTTCCATCTCCAGACCTGTTTGAGGAACTCCTCTCTACTGTAGTCCTGTCTGCACTTCCCCTGCTCCCTCATCAGCTTCCTCTCAACCACCGACTATCACACATGGAAACATCAGAGATCATTCTGAACAGCTAATATTCATACAAACGGACACCTAAGCATCCTTTTTACCATTTAACAGATAAGGAGATGGGATACCTGTGTTGCAATCCCAGCATGATCGCAGCCAGGAAGCCACAGCACCTTGTAGCCCTGCATCCGGCGCCTGTATAAAATGATCTGATGAAATGGTCTGATCATCTTGGATTAAGAGTCCATTTATAAAGATATGTTATATATGTATTGCTGAGGCATGTTATGCTACAGAGTAATAATCAAAGAGTTTATTAAAATGGTACCAGCGAGCCAAAGCATCTTCTATAGCCACTGTTAGCGCATGTCCGAGATGTAAAGTGCCAGTCACATTCGGCGGTGGAATACATAAGGAGAAATATTTATCAACTGCATGGGGCTGTTTACTCTGAGGAAGAAGATTACAAAAAACATGGTTAAATAATTATTAATCTACTTGCACTACTGTTTCACTACTTGTGTCAGTAAGATTTTTATGCAATTTAAAATAACTATTTTCTGTTTAAGTATATATTATAAAATGTCATTTATTTCTGTGATGCAAAGCTGAATTTTCAGCATCATTACTTCAGTCTTCAGTGTCACATGATCCTTCAGAAATCATTCTAATATGCTGATCTGTTCAAGAAATGTTTCTTCTTATTATTATTAATGCTGAAATGCTGAAATTAATGCCGTTTCACATTTTTGTGGAAACCGTGATATTTGTTCCCGGATTCTTTGATGAATAGAAAGTTCAAAAGAACAGCATTTATTTGAAACAGAAATTATAAATGTCTTTACTGTCACTTTGAAACAATTTAACGCATCCTTGCTGAATAAAAGTATTAATTTCTTCTTCTTCTTTTTTTTTAAATCTTACAGAAGCTAAACTTTTGAACAATGGTGTATTTCTATATTAATTCATTTATTTATTTGTTTTCACATACAGGTGCATCTCAATAAATTAGAATGTCGTGGAAAAGTTCATTTCAGTAATTCAACTCAAATTGTGAAACTTGTGTATTAAATAAATTCAATGCACACAGACTGATTTTGGCTCACATTTAACAAAAACCCACCAATTCACTATCTCAACAAATTAGAATATGGTGACATGCCAATCAGCTAATCAACTCAAAACACCTGCAAAGGTTTCCTGAGCCTTCAAAATGGTCTCTCAGTTTGGTTCACTAGGCTACACAATCATGGGGAAGACTGCTGATCTGACAGTTGTCCAGAAGACAATCATTGACACCCTTCACAAGGAGGGTAAGCCACAAACATTCATTGGCAAAGAAGCTGGCTGTTCACAGAGTGCTGTATCCAAGCATGTTAACAGAAAGTTGACTGGAAAGAAAAAGTGTGGAAGAAAAAGATGCACAACCAACCGAGAGAACCGCAGCCTTATGAGGATTGTCAAAAAGAACCAAAGACTTAAACTACTTCAGTCTGTGTGCATTGAATTTATTTAATACACGAGTTTCACAATTTGAGTTGAATTACTGAAATAAATGAACTTTTCCACGACATTCTAATTTATTGAGATGCACCTGTATATTGTGTACTTCAGATTTTAAAGGCATGAGGAAATGGAAGTAGGAAATGGACATTTTTTGGATTAACATTGAGGAAGACAAAAATGTAGGATAGAGACTATATATACACAGTACACACACACACACACACACACATATACATATATATATATATATAAAACTGTAACTGCTCCCTCACATGCTGCTCAGGACTGAAGAATCCCTGTTTCTCCCACCACTGATACCAGCCAAACTCCACATATTCTGGGCTGTAGGATTGTGGGAAGGGCAGAGTGGTGTCTAAAAGAGAGGACGTTTGGAAGACATGGGAATACAGAGATTGCTGATAGGGATGATAGCAACAGACATCTATAATAACTGCATTAGTCAGACACCATGAAAAAATCCAGAGCATCAAAGAACAGTGACGCAAGACAAAACAGGAAGAGAAAAAGCATTCTGTTACCTTTCTTCTCTCCAGGTACGAGTGCAGCAGTGTATGTTATTTTCTCTTTATCCGACCAGCTCAGTCCAGGATCATTAACATGCTGCAAGGGTTAAAGTCGTGTTAAGGCTTTATGGCTTTAAACCAAATGACACATGCATTTTGATATGTATAACCCACACTACTGAGTATGGCCTTCTCCCGCGCTTGTCTGCGTTTGGCTTTCTCTGCTTGTGTCCTGGGATGATGTGAAGGCTGTGTGCTAGATGAGCTTTGAGAGCAGAGTCTGCATCCCCATGTGCTCCAGGCCTTCTGAAGACCTCTGCTCCAGATTCTGGGTGATGCCACATGCACAGCCATCCACATGTCCTGAAATCTGGAGCCTTTCAGACTGAAACTAACGTGAAAAGATGAACAACAATTTGTCCTTTAAACTAAATGTGATGGACCTTTTTTTTTTTTTTTTGTAATTATTTAATTTGTGCATTACATTTGAAAATTTTAGTAAAGAAACAAAACAAAAATGTTAAACCTTTTTTAGACATTGCACCATGGTATTTTTTGTTACTGAAACCCTAAGGTATTGTGAAACTTACACATTAAAAAATAGAAATGGCAAATAACTGAAATAAGTAATTAAGTACTAAAAAAAAAAATATATATATATATAAACATACATAGAAATATTTAAAAAGTGTTTTTTATAAATATCAGTTGAAAAATGTAAACTAAAAAAGCTGGCTACTATTCAAATAAGTTTTGGTAACTACTTAAAATACTAAAACCTAAAATCAAATTAAATAAAAATTAAAAGTTATATTGACATTAAAAATAAACAAATAAAAATTACAAAAAGCACATAACGAAATGACTAAAACTTAGTTAAATAAATAATTTAATTTAAAAAAAAGAGAGCTAATTCAAAATATAAATAAATACTATTATAGTATATAAATAATAAGAAAATAACACTGCTTGGAGTATCATGTAAATGCAATAGAACATGGAGTACAATTACAAAACAATACATCAAATAAGAAACACATACAAATACAGGGTCAAATGTGTTTGGCAATGAAGGTTCGTGTTTTTACAAATATTATGAATATATGCATTCTGCAACTTCATGACATACATCTTTAATAGTATACACATCTAATAGTACGATCAGAGAAATGCTGCATATGAAAATGACAAATAAAAGGTCTAAAAGGAGCGTACCTTCACTCAGTGTGTGCTGTCACAGGGCGCAGACATATTGCGGATACGGCAGTGGCTTTTCCCCACTAATATTCTTAGGTCTAAAACTCCATATGACTTCAAATGTTTAGAAAAAAAAACCGCAGATGAGTGACTAATAAAAAAGAGCTGCAAACAATCAACGTTAAATTACACTGGATTATACTTCCTTCTCGCTAGACAAGTTCCTATCGGAACGTTTTTAAAGGAGCACTCAGCGGCTGCGGCTGCGGCTGCGTCTCAAGAGCTAGCGAGCCGCCTCTATAGACAGCATAGTGAGCATCAAGGGTGCGTTGCGCGTTCCGAGATCGTTGCATTTTTTGGTGTTTTTTTGAGTCAACACAGCATATTTAGAAATACAGTTCAGCTGAGCTGACTCCAAGCACTACTATATTGTCTGAAAATCCTGTCTAGGTAGTCAGCTCACTTTTTTTTGAAACACAGTCAACTTCGGGAACCGGTCCGTCCGTAAATGCGTCCTTCCGAGGAGTGATTAGACTGGCGCAAATTCATCTCAGATTCATATAGCGTCCAGCTCGACGTCCCGACGCGCCAACCGAGAGCTGCAGCCGTCGGTTTTTAATATCGTTTAAACGGAGAGCAGACTCTCGTCGACTGAAGGCGACCGAGCGCCGCTGTGAAGGCTTGTTCGGGTTTGATCAGCGCTATGGCGGAGGTACAAGGTACATCGAGCGAGACGATAACGGAGACCGTTCAGACGGGCACACCGCCTCCACCGCAGCAGGTACTCACTCTGCCCTACTTACTGTAGACACCATCACGAGCCAGCTAGCCCGAACCATTCAGGTACAAGAGCTGAGAGCCCGCAGCCCGAAGACTCTTGCGGTTAGCTAACGTCAATCGTTTAGTAGTTAGCATATCGAGTAGTTTAAATAGACTGACTAGATACCAGCATAAGGCCTGTTTAGTAAGCGACATGTTCAGCAGGGATTGTGTTCTCAACTGGTTTGGCAGTGTGTTATGATCACAACACAAATCCACCTGGAAATCTCCCCTTGGAGATATTTACCTGGTAACCGCTATTTTCATGTTAGTTAACGTTACAACAACTGTTATTGCTACTGCCGTAAAACATAAATTAAACGGAAAGCTTTTTACGACACAAACACTTTTATAACACTTACAGCACAACAAGTGCATGGGATAGTACTGGGGTTATTACAGTTAACTAAAGCTAAAACCTTAACAATAAACATTTTCGTTACTTAAAAATAAAATAAACGTTAACTAAAATAATTAAACGTATTTCAGCTGGTTGCCAAGGCAACTTTTCTCATTAGCATTTAAACATTTTCGTCTAGCTTGGTGCACTAAAAACTAAAATGAATAAAAGCTATATTAGACATAATATATAGATATATGTATATGTGTGTGTGTGTGTAAAAATGACAAATCCAACAAAATTACTAAAACTTTAAAAGAAATTAAAATGCAAACGAAAAATATATCAATTCCAAATGTTAATAAAAACTATAACAGTATTTTAACTTACTGTTATTTATATGTATGTTTTATTTATGTTTATTTTTATTTAAAGTTGATTATTTTTCAAATTTGTAATAAAATGCCCAAATGGTGTGACAAAATAGTGATGCCATAATATTAAAAGATTACCATATTCATATACCGTCATGCATGGTGTTTTACAGTAATTTAAAGAATGGTAGATATTGCTATGGTGTGCTGCCTGTCTAGCAGATGTTGGTGTAACCGTAGTACGGTACGTAGTAAGATCCCGTGTTAATTCATTGGGGTTTTACAGAAGTAAGTAACTCAAAGCCAAAACAATGGTGGATGTGAAAAATGTAGCTGTCATCATCATCATCGTCTAACTATTAATGGTTACTCAGATCTGTAATAACATTTAATAATGCAAGTAATATTCTCCATGTGATGGCCTGGTTTTGTGTGCTTTCAGGAGGGCAGAAGCCTGACCATCAAGCTCAGGAAAAGGAAGACGGAGAAGAAAGTGGAGTGGTCCAGTGACACGGTGGACAATGAGCATCTGGGCCGGAGGTCTTCAAAGTGTGAGGCTTGTTTTGTTAGCGTAGCTCTGAATCCATTATGGATGGTCATTCAGTTTGGATATCCATCGAGGATTTCTTATATAAAATGAGAATCTGCTTCATACTTGAAAACTGTGCAGGACAGCTCTGCATCTGGGCCAGATTGTAAAGAGCTGGTTTTAAATGACCTGCGTCTGCTCAAAGCGGCCTGTTGAAGGCTTCGTTTCTTTAAATAGAACGTCCTCAGCTTATTTGTTTTTTTTTCCGCCGCCACGTTCTTCTAAAATGGCTTTGATGTGTTCAGGTTGCTGTATTTATGAGAAGCCTCGACAGTTCGGCGAGTCTTCCTCGGAAAGCGAGGGGGATGACGAGGAAGGCTGCGGAAGCGCGCACTGCATTCTGGGACACGGGAGAAGAGACCATGGACAGAGGGAGGGTGGAGGGGGCACAGCGCCCCCTAGCTCTGGGGGAAAGAACCCTCACTAGAAGTTGAGGCGAGTGGGAGAGTCGGTTTGGAGGGAAGGGTAACGGACGGCGTGGGCACTACATTCATAATCCCTCATCCTCACTCACACTCAATTACATCACACCATCACTGGGTGTCAAAAGCTTTTTGATGAATGAAAGCTTGTAGAGCAATGCAATGTGATTCGTTTTCTCCTCTGTCATTAGTTTGATGACCAGGAGAAGACTTTTTTGCGATCTGAATGCTGCAGAAAATTTGTTGTACATAGGACATTGGTTTTTATTTCTTTTGTTAAATCTATATTTATTTGTTTGCGTTTAACAACTTGATCTTATCAGTTTTGTCCACAAACAATATTAACAATAACCTTAAAATATGATTCAGGAGGGTTAGCTTCTAGTTCGAATCAAGTGGATTTAAAAGGAATAAATGCAGTATAAAAAGGAATTTGATATCAAATATAATTTGCCTTGCGGTGTCACAATTCTAGCAGCAGTATTTCTTCATATCACTTGAGGAACTTCAAGCGTAGTATGTGTTGTGTGCTATAGTGAATTTAAAACGTGACAAGGTTCAGGAACTCAACCCTTTGGATATTTTTTACAAGAGTGCATTAAACCATCTCTATCAGCCGTCAATGTTTGATTGAGTTCTAGTGAGACTCCCATCAGACAATCGGACTAGTCAGAGACTCGGCATGTACGTGCAAAGACATCGACGTGTTTATAACATAGTGAAGTGGACCGAGAAACATCTGTGATGCTTTACTTCATTCTGAATGCGAGTTGAGAACGTCAGCTTGATCATTACACAAAACTGACCGAAAATAAACAGCAGCAGTGAAATTAAAGAAATAGTTCAACCACATATTAATATTTGCTGAAAATGTACTCTCCCTTTAGGCCATCCAAGATGTAGATGATCATCAGAAATGTAGCATTCCATCACTTTCTCACCAGTGGATGCTCTGCAGTGAATGGGTGCCGTCAGAATGAGAGTCCAAACAGCTGATTAAAACATCACAATAATCCACACCACTCCAGTCTATCAATTAATGTCTTGTGAAGTGAAAAGCTGTGTGTTTGTAAGAAAATAAATCCATAGTTAAGACTTTTTTAACTTCAAGCCACTGCTTGCGGCTAAAATATGAGGCTATAATCCATAATGTTGCTTTCGCCAGTGAAAAAGTCATCTTGTCTGAATCAGGAGAGAAATATGCACAGATCAAGCACCGTTTACAAGCAAAAACAGTTCTAAATGAATATGTTGGTAGATTTTGATGAGAGAGGACAACAGGAGATGAACCTTTTCCACTGGAGAAAGTGTTATTTTGGATTATGGTATTTTTGCCTGACGTGGCCGTTTCAAGTTATAACACTGACTAATGATGGATTTGTTTCTTAGAAATGTGTAGCTTTTCACTTCACAAGACCGTAACTGATGGACTGGAGTGGTGTGGATTACTTGTGGATGTTTTTATCAGCTGTTTGGACTCTCATTCTGACGGCACCCATTCACTGCAGAGGATCCATTGATGAGCAAGTGATGCAATGCTACATTTCTCCAAATCTGTTCCCATTAAGAAACAAACTCATCTACATCTTGGATAGCCTGAGAGTGAGTAAAGTTTCAAGAAATTTTCAGTGCAATTGATCTGAAAATGTGTAGATTTAGAATATTTTCCTTTCATTTGCATGCCTTACACGAAATGCAGGGAAAATGTTTTGTGTGTGATATAGAGGATCACCCTGTGATATGAAAGGCGTTCCATCTCATCCCGGGCAATATGGCTGCTTTTATTTGGCAGCAATTGGTATAAAATCCAGCTAAAATTGGGAGAAGTGCATGCCGTCAGGATGGTGTGTAGTAGTTTGACTTGAGCTTTAAGGTGTAAATGGATTATATGTGGTATAAAGAGCACGGGAGAGTGCATGGCTGAATGCTGGCCAAGACCAAACACACATAGCATCATATCTCCTCTGATGGCACAGACAGTTTACAGTTGATCCCCATCAGGACCGTCACTGCAGTCATCAGCATCCCAGCATTCACATGCATCTGTCGTCCCTTTACTGTGGATGCACCTGTATGTACAGAGCAAAGGTCATAGAATGGATTTAACATGAATAAACAGATGTTAAATTATGTTGTTTATATCTATTAAATGCTCAATGGCAACCTGAGTGTTTGACTCTCATCCTGATTCTGTTCAGTCCTTATGAAATGTACATTTATATAATGATTCATGTGATGCATTATTAAGAGTTCAGAAGCTAAAACGTTTTAGATCAGTCATGTGGAAAGCGAGTCATAATTTAAAAATATACATTAGCAGCATAGAAGAGATGTGGATCAGTGGTGTTATTGTTAACTAAAACTAATGTTTGTTCATTGAAATAAAGCGGAAATAAAATCACTATTAAAAAACAAAAATTAGATTTAAACTTAAAGTTGGCAACTAACTGAAATTGCTAATTGCAATACTTAAAAGCATTCAAATTGCTTAATTTGAAACGCTAAAATGACTAAAACTCAGATAAAAATGAAAACTAAATGGATTAAGAAAAAAAATGACGATGTCTCAAAATTACTGAAACTAAAATTTAAATAAATTCAAAATCGAAAGCTAATTCAACAAAATAATTCTAAAATAACACTACTGTGGATTATTGGTGGATGCATGTGAACTAAGGTAAATAAT